CTGTCTGTCTGTCTGTCTCTGTATGTGTATATATATATATATATATGCACAGGTACATGTTGTGTTATGTATATATGTACATACTTATGTATATATATATATATTTATGTATGTATGTACACACACTTTATGAATTGAATGGTTATGTCTTGCACATCTAGTCTCTATTAGTCTCTATACACGCTAATAGTAAAACCGAATATTATATATATATATATAATGTATATGAACAAAACAAAAAATGCACATATGCACACATGATCTACTGCAAGAGCTGTGTGTACTATGACCTTCACCAGCCTCCAACTCGATGGTGATCACTTTGGAGCTCGTCTCCAACTGCCATGACAGAGCGTCCATGGGCTCTCGGAGCTTCAAGGGCGCGCAGGAGTTGGTCACGCTGCTTCGAACCCGTCAGATGGTCCACACATGTCCAGCTACAACTAAGTCACTCAAGGAGAGTCGCTCGCCCTGCAAAGTAAATAAAGCCTGTGCCAGAGTCTACAGCAGACCTGAAATCTGGAACGACCCACGAAAGCTTCAGCTCCCGATCAGAATGGCCGTGACAAGACCCAAAGATCCTCTTAATGCATGTCTGGGTGGGCTCCGTAGTCGCTGACACCCCGCAGCCTGGTGGGCAAGTTGTCTCTGGCTAATGCACTTCAGAACAGAGACTACAGTGGCCGCAGACTGCAGATTGACCACTTAGTCGGGGGCAGGAAGATGCGAGCTTCCTGAGCAAACGATGTGCAGTGCTGTGGCCGTGACTTAGGCTGGTCATGTCGATCTGCATCTAAAGTTGTGTATTTGGTACGTATCGCTTGGCATTCCAGGCATGAAGGGCCCCTCGCTTGGGATCTGCAAATCAATGCGGCAAGGCGGCAGCAGAGGCGCCGGCCTGTGATGCTAATTCCCACAAGCTGGCGGGACTTTAGTCGTCACGTCTGTAGGGAAGCCCTACAATGCCCAACCGCACTAGCATTTACGAAGCCAGCTCTGTGTTACTACGAAGTGTTACAGTAAACCCCAAGAAGTTGCAAACCGGATCAAGGATAATGAGTGCCCATTCCTTACAAATAAGTTTAAGGATTGAGGCTGTTGGGTTTCCAACTTTGGGCCTCTACTGTACTGTAGGAGTTGGGTTGTACCATTGGGTCGCCCCGCCCTGCAGATCTGTACTGTATGCTCATGGCGAGCACCTGGCTTAGGAAGGCGTGGTTTCATGTCTGGCACTCGCATGTCTGATCCCGGAACTGTCGGCCGAAGGCACAGCAGGCGAATCCGATCAGAAGCGCTCTGAGCCGCTTCCAAACGCAAACTTCGCAAACTGCCTCCGCGAGAGAGGCCTCGTGCCGCCACTGCACAGTGTTGTACCGTGCACAAAACTGATTAAACTCACGACCTTCGACTGCCTTTGGCAGTCTTGCAAAGGACTGGGCTTCCTTGGTGGAAGCATCAAAACCGCCATGGGCGGCTGACAACGGCTCAGACACACCTTGCCGACTGCAGTACGTTTGGTCTCGTCTCCTTCTGTGTCAGCAAGATGGGCCCGGCATTCAAAACACAACCGGAAATGGCTTCCACGTGCCCCATTCAGGGTGTGGGCTCTTGCCAATCAGTGCGCTTGCCGCGCCATGAGCACATTCGGTATTCTACAATCTACTACAAGACAATATGCTGCATTGCCCGCAGCACGCAGCTGGACGACTTCTGACGAGAATGATGATTGTGCGAGTCCCCTCGATGCTTCTACGAATCGGCGTGAGACAACTGCCGTGCAGCGCGTGCGCCACTGCCGGCTGCGGAGGGCCGGCGCTGGTCGCGGACGAAGGCTCGGAAAAGCCCCAAGGCCTTCCTCGGATGGTTGCAGTTTGGTGCTTCGCATTCAGGTTTTCTTGCACTGTCGGGTCGGCTAGGGATGGTTCTCCCATTATACTTTGTAGCTGATCTTTGGCATGTGCACATGCGTGCAGTCAGTACTCAGACTCATCAGCATGTAGTCTGCACAGGTTAAGCATGCCGTACTTGTGTGATAAAGTCTCTTTCCGATTGCAAAGGCACGTTTAGGTAAAACACGCTCCAACTCTGGAACGAGGCAAGTGAACTCCGAGCGGCTTAGAAGGAATGCCCGCCGTGGCATCCTGGCCGAAATCTACTACAAGGGATCAGACATGAAGCACTCTAAAGGTACCTCTTTATTCGAGGGCTTTACGAGATTTTACGAGGGCCTAGCAAAGGCGAAGTTGTTCGTTCGCCGAGGCGTGGAAGATGTGGAAGCGTTGACCTCTGTTTGAGGAAGTTGCCTTCCAGAAACGTGCTTCCTGCACCTCCACCAGCATCTTACGGACACCGAACCTAACAGGCAATACAGTATAGTGAGGGTCCAGGCATTAACTTCAACATTTTGAACCTCAACCACTCAGAATCTAGAAAACTCCAAGATTGCCCGGCAGAAGACGTGCGTCAAACGATACCTGAAGATTACTAGTAATGTACACATGTTTGCTAAGCCCAGAACCCCTTGTCCAGGCTAAGCTACGAATAGCTACGAGACGGGTTGGCATGTGACAAGGCAGAAATATGACCTTCTCAACACATCCACTTGGGCATACATGGGCCACGTGCCTTGAGAATCTTTTCGACCTCCGACGTGTTCACACCCAAGAAGGCAGCTGGGCTCTGTCTTGCTACCTGTGGGGGGGAGGGGGAGACACTCGCTGTATGCAAATGCTTCGTACTTCGTACTTTCCCAGAAGGTATGAAGTTTTATCGTACTGTACATGGCCCCCTGTATAAATGTGGCACTACAAACGTGCACAAACCGCTACTGAGGACTTTGTTTTCCAATCGGCCTCCAGCGCATTCTCGGTGAAGCAATTCTCCGCCCAAGGGTCTGCGCCGGCAGCGACCAACTCCTGTCAGCGTCTGTCTGCGCGTGCGACAAAAGCCCACGCCACGTGTTGGACAAGCAAGATCAAGTCCGAATGGGTAATGCTACGCAGCACGGACATTTCATTGTCTTTCCGAAGCCATCGACCACGCACCTTGGCAGCTGCAGCGTGGCCGGCCAATGCTGCATAGTGCAACGGTCGATCCTTCATGTCATCCTCGCGGTTCAGACCGGCATAGCATCGGTTCGGTGATTTGGAGATCGAGTGTATCGGGCGGTTGCATGTTCGTGCGAAGATGTGCAAGGCAGCTGTACAGATCGATGGGATGGGATGTTTGCGCTGGGCGTCGCTGTTTGTGCTTGAGTTGCTGGCACAAGGCGACATGCATTGCAGGACTCACGGCTGCTAGATTTTGCGCCCTTCTCTACTTCGAGGAACCCAATGATCCATCCCCAAAACACTGCAAAACTGACTGTCTGCAAAACCATCAACAAAAAAACAATTTGCATGCCGACCCCGCAAAGGCCCGACCTCAACGTTCGGATCCATCTTCGCCTCCAAAAGAGCCTCGAAGCACTTGACCAAATGAGCAGGGTTGGACATGCCTTCAAAGACTGTTCGCACCCCTACACGCCGGGTGATAGAAGCTAGACTGTGCGAAACTCCGACGCGTGGAAGTTCAAACCCTCACATCTGAAGCCGTCCTTTGTCGCATTTGCCGCTTCAGCTGCTTCAAAGCGGCTGTCATGGCTGACCAGGATCGGCACGCGATGGCGATGTGCAGGGGCATCCTCGCTTTGGGAATTTTGGCGCTGGTGCCTTGCTTTGGGGGTCACGCATTGGCGGCTTTCCTCCCAACGTTGTCTTTCATGGTGTCGCTGGACAGCCGCAGGCCGGGTAGGCTGCAAATGTCCTTGATGGCCTGCACGTCATCATTCCTTCCGCAAGCACGGGAAGAATCACAAGGTGAGCAAGAAAAGTACCTCTTTTGCTTTGTCGGCTTGTCCTGGCGGCTCGTCGCAGGACGGGGCCGGCAAGCCACTGGTGAAGCCCTTAAAGATCGGTGGAACCCAGGTTAGGTGGCTTGGAGTTTCGGCACAAACTTTACTGCACAGGCACAGCTCAGCCACAGCTCTAAACCAGAAGCTCCTCGCTGGTCGCAGCCAAGCCACGAAGCAAACCGCGATAATAGCTGTTGTTGCTCTCCACGACCTCGCCATCTTCATCCTGGGCTCTCAGGAATCTGAGTCATTGCCCTGATTCGCGCTTGTCACGGCAGAAGTGCCACCAAGATACCTCTTCCTCGTTAGTGTTACTTAGCAGGCTCTTCAGCAGCCGGTAGATCACCTGGACGTCGAAGTCGCCATGAACCCAGTTTCCGCTTCGAAAGGCCTGGCTGCAAGCCAGCACACCATCGCTGCTGGCGAAGTAGATGCCTTTGTCCGTGCCCACCTGAAAATTGGCCATGTAACTCATACACTTCATACACTGTGTGATAGCTATACAGCCTATAGCAGCCTACAAGTATCACGCGGTCCCACCTCGAAGATCAGCGGACCGATGCTAAGGTTGATCGTCTCATCCTCTTGCAGTTCGGAGGTTTTGGAGAGCTGACAGATGATGCCCTCAACTTCGGTCTTCACCGACTTCCAGCACACTTCGGGATCTTCAGCGTCATCGTGGGGGTTCACTCCGAGAATTTCCACAAAGAAAATCGTCGAGTCTGGCAGGTGCTGCGCCTCTGCAAACAGCTCTATAGCAGACATTCGCTCGTGCCAGAAGTTGCTCGAGGAGAAGGTGACTGCATACTGCCTCAGCTGGTCTTGTGAGAAATCCAAACACACACAGAGACCTGCTCACTGATGCTCCACGCTTTGGGAAACCTTTGCTGATCTGAAGAGCAGGCGACGGCTTCTGGGGCTCATCAGCCACAAGTTCCATGTAGGAACAGTTTCGCTCCTCCGTAAATTCCTTCACCCACTCGGACACATGCTCAATCCGGAGGTGCTCGAACTCCACGGGTCCCTCGAACTCGACGTCCAGGCCTCGCATTAATGCAGCCACGAGATGCTGCCACAACAAATCCACTGAAGCTGAGAATCAAAAGGTTGCACTGCTGCACAGTCAAGCACCACTAGTCACTAGCTCACTAGCGGCTTTCCGACGGTCTGATCTGAAGTACCAATAATTAAAGTCATCAAATCCTGATCCTCTGCACGTCTGTCTGGCGTGGATAGGGCCCGGGGATGGTTGCAAGCTGGTTCAGCTAAGGAACGTTCAAACCATGGACAATCCTCGTCATCTGCATGCCATGGGCAGCTTGCCTGCAAGGCACATTAATTGGGAGCACGCTCGTGAGGGAAAAGTCCCGTTGAGAACCCTAGATGCATGCCCCTCTGCCTCCAACTTCGCCGTGAAGACACGTAACTGGTTCAAAGTCACACCGCGCAGGGCCATCTCCGCGACCTGACATCGTAGTCACGCAGTCCAGAAGAAGATGAACATGGAATCACAGCCGACCACCCGTAGGACAAGGGTTTACCGGAAAGCCTGTGATGCCAAACTGCACTTGTAGTTAACGGTTGCTTCCCACGCAATGGTCAAAGCCCGGCAAGCGAAGACATGGGGGCCTCGCAGCCCTTGGCCTTCTTGGGCAATCCGAGATTCGCCATAACGCGAAGACGGACCATCATGTTGAGATCCTCGAAGCGCTTCCTGTGGCGCAGCTCTTAGCTCTTCGTTCCATTCACTTGCTTCAAGCTTCCGTTGTCCAGCTAAGCCGCGCGTGCTTTTTGAAGAGGTTGGCTTCGTGGGCATACTCCTTCTCACCTGGGCTTCCAGGAATACTATACCACTATGCCCCACCGCCATGCAGTCTCCAATATTGGCCGCTATCGGAGCAAGTCCAAGCCGGAAATTGCCCAAGCGGTACCCAATCCGCCAGCTGGTGGCAATGTAAAACACTCAGGGATGACCTGTGGGTCGAGACACCGTTGGACCGGTTCGGCCAACTGGGATCCTTCGCATTCCCGTCGAGGGAAGGGCGTCCCATTTTGTCCAGGACCATCTGACCATCGGCGTCCTGCAACAGCTCTTCTCGAAACGAGATGCTTTATCGTGGAGCGCCTCGAGCCATAATAGATATCAAAGATTGACATCCCACAGGCCCAGGTGAGAGGTCCCGTGGTTTAAAGGACTGCCAGCTTCGGAACATAGGAAGATATAGGAAGCTTCAACATCTCATCTTAGACGTTTCCAATGAAACCCCAAATCCCCACCGAGCAATTCGTTCACAGGTAGACCTGCATCCCTGTCGGCTCCTTCTTCAGGCCTTCTAACTCGTTGACCTTCGCCTGACTGTGCGAGTCTTATGGTGGTTGGCTTGGGCCTTCCTTGGGGATTCGCCCAGGTAGCTGCCCCAAACTATGTCGCTACACGACAACCGAGATCACAAGAAAAATTAATGAATGTAGACAGTTGGCTTCATATCGCGGGGTTGCCTTCATTTGTTGAGGGATCGGTTCCGACTTTGCAGTTGAGCTGCTACATAGTTTAGGATCTGCCTGCGATATTGCGGATCTGAGGCTTCGCTGGAGCGAATGTCCCAGGTCTTCACGGCCTGGGCAGGTCGAACACTGCTAGTCCACTGCCACCATTTCTTCTTCTTCACAGAACATGCTTCGGACTTGCATCTTGACTTTCTGATCTATTCAACCCCTGACTGGCCTCGACCAACGGCCCACCAGAAACATAGGTGGAACCGACACGCCCCGCAGAGGTGTAGAGGACAAAGTCTATGTCGTTGTTAGTGGTGTAGTGCACCTTCCGTGCGCAGCGCACAAAAAGGGCAGCCGGGCGGCAGCTGCTTGCAAAAACCTTCGCTCAAACTCTCAGAGTGCTCAGGCCTCAAGTCCGCACCACGTTCGAGTCAGCGAGCCAGCCTGCGCCGCAAGAGCTCTTCTCTCTGGATCTTTGCAACCGATTCACAAGGCCTGGTAATCGACGACCAGAACCGTGAGGTCCACCGTCTTCAAAGTCCGGATGAAGGGACAGTCCTCACGACCAGCACTTAAGACTTAGAACGTTCTGCTCTTCACATCGAAACTGTGCGGCTCACTGCTATGCCACTGCTATGCATTATGCTGTTGGCGCGTGCAACAAATTACATGAAAGACTTGGAGAAAATGCTTACGTAGAGAGTCGGCAACTGAAAAAAAGAGGAAAAGCCTTCAGGCCTATGAGGCACTCATGAACGCAGCCTAGGAGTAGTACTCTCTCGCCCTTGTGCAGGAGCGGTCCATGAGCTTCGAGCCAAAGTTCTCTCCGAACTGACAGTTCGCGAAAGTGCAGATCCAAATGGGGGTGTAGATGCCTTGGCGACGGAGACTCAAGGAGAGCTCAAGGAGCCTACATGGGATTACATGGGCCTACACTCCCTAGACTCCCCAGACTGAAGCGGCGGTGCTCAGGGCCCGGTCCATGGTCATCTTGTCCACTGCCTGCATGAAGTCCATGAAGCGTCCTCATCAGGGGAATCATCTTTTTGGGGGACCCTTCAGCTCTTGAGGTCGGGCATGGTGGGGCGCCGTCGTGCCTTCCGGAATGCAGCTCACACCCAACAACTCCCCACCACCTTGTGCAGATCCCCACTTCAATTCAGTCCTCCCCACCAGTGGCTGAACATGATCTTGGCAGGCTGAGGCTCCTCCGCCACGAACTCCACCCAGCTGTACCTTCCAAGGCTTTCTGCCAGTGGGAAAGGGGGGTCAGACATAAGAAATGGGCTTGCAGCCAGATTGCCATCGCCGATCTTCATCCAAATGCTCTCCCTTGGGGTCGACGTGTGGGATCACCTTCTTGATCACCTCGTTGGTGATGTGATACCTGCAGTTCCATAAATCAAACATCATCAGGCCACATCTTCACCCATCATGCATATGGCAAACAAATGAACTCCAGTGTTCACAACCAGGATGCATGTTGAGGCTCGTCCATGGGATCAGCTTTCCATGGCTTCCCTTCCCCTTGGAGTGCTCCGTGGTGTGCCTGGGCGGGCGGAACCCAACTTTCACAACTGTTTCGACGGGCACTCTGATCTTTCAACTTGAAACCGGGTTGCTTCAGCAGCTCGGTTTTGGTCAGATACTGAAGAAAAGTCCGGAGGCTGCGCAGCTGCTTGACAGTGATGGCACGCTCTGCGACATCCTGACGAACAAACGGCACATTCTCCCGGTGAGTGTAGAACGAGCTGAAAACCGGCCTCGATGATGCACCCGGTCTTCTCTTGCCGGGCTGCTTTGCGGCCTTCGTCTTCCTCCGTCTCACCCTCGTCGCTGCTCGCTTCGTCAAGGTCTCCCACTGATCGCTGGTAGATGTCATCGAGGCGGGCATCCAGATCTTTCCACGGCAGCACCATGGGGAGGTGCAACTTCGCGAGGTCTCCACGCACAGCTACAGCTAGGATGACAATCAGGCTTGCAGGGTCCAGGGTTTTGACATGTGAAGCTCATGCTCAGCAAGCTCTGACGTGAATCGCGCTTTTGCTCTGCAGCATGGAAGTGATCATGGCATATGCTTCATTTACTTCGACTCGTGCGCAAACGCTCGCAGCAGACAGTTGGAAAAGCAGTACCTAAGGACATGCTGACTTGCGCGATTGCAGCTTCCTCGGGCTTCTGCGCAACTTGGGAGCTAGGGGAGCTTCTGAGAGTGTCAAGAGGTAGCAAGAGGTCGAGGCCAAGCCAAGTCCGCAATCGCCTTCGGCTGGGCTGCCACCGGCGGCTTCTTCATCTTCTTGTCTTTGAAAGGATTCTGCCAGGTGAAACTCTGTGACGATTTTCCCAAGGGATCACATGGAGAAGGCAAGCGGCAAGATTTCCGAGCAAGACCCTGTTACGGTACAGTAGGACCTTCTTCTGCTTGTTCTCCTCTTTCTTCGGTGGGTGCAGGATGGCGTCGGCACCCTGGCGCAACAAGCAGTTCAGCTGCTCCGGACATGATGACGACTGCAACAAGAGGAGGTTTGGTATCGTAACGCAGGGATCTGCGAAGAAAAGAAATGCCGCCTCACAGGAATAAAGCTCCAGAAAGCCGACAATGTAATGAACTGACGACTGTTGCAACCAGGAATTGCATGTGTCCGTAGCCGAGTGCATCAAGCTAGTTCAGATGAGGTGACAGTTGCCACATCCGAATTCTGCTACGAGTACCAATATTTCTGTCATCGATCATCATTTGGTTATTGCCATCGTCATCGTCATCATCGTCGTCATCATCATCATCATCTTCACCGCCATCATCATCATCATCTTCTTCTTCACCGCCATCATCATCATCATCATCTTCTTCTTCACCGCCATCATCATCATCATCAACATCATCATCGCCAGCATCATCCCCAGCAGCTGCCGTTGCGATGGCGCAGGAGGCCCAATGCATGACCAAGGCATGATTGAACAGTATTCACGCAACCAATAGCTGTTTTTTGGACACATCCGCAAGATTGCAAATGCATTGGCAAAAGCTTGCCAAAACACATGGACTCAGCAGACTTAATGAACTGTGTTTTATGCAGTTTTAGGCCAAGCGCTGGCTAAACTCGAAGCCTGGTCTTCCAAGAGCTCCAGCAATGATTCCTTGTCCACGCGCCCCTGACCAGGGCGAAGGTGTGACATCTGGCCGTCTGGGCTGAGATCAACAGGCACTATGGTAGATATCAGAGTTGTGAGACGTTGTGACGTTGTGAGGGCCGGCTTGGCTAACTGATGACTGATGATAACTGATGACTGATGATGCGCAATTGACAAAAGAACTTGCAGACTAGACCTCGCGCTCGATGCGAAGGGTCAGTACACATGCAAGTTCCGCTGCGGCGGAATCTTCGGAATCCAGGCTGCGAAAATGGGCAAATGGGCTATGCTCCGATAGAGGTCGCCTGAAAGACCCGGCCTCACAGTTCAGGCCCAGCGCGATCATCTGCTTGCGGAGGTCACGAGCCTGCAACACACCAGGAGCAGGCCGTTTTAGCAGGAGGGGGGCTGGGCGGAGGGTGGTGCAGATCGGTTTAGGCTCATGGGTGATTTTTCAATGGCATGGTTCGGCCATGGAGTCTGAGTCGTAGAGGTGATAAGGTTTCAGGATGGTGTAGGCTGCTGTGACAAATGCTTGCACTCGCCCGGTTGCACGCATGCGATAAATTAGCTAGCACAATGCACCTATCCAAGCAAAAGCCCTACAATTTGCATGCGTCTAGTCTAGTGTCGACCAAAGCAGCCAGGCTAAAACGAGATGGTCGGAAAGTTGCCTGTGACGTGTGACCAAGGCCTCGTACATGCCGCGGGAAGGGCTCCGAGTAAATCGTAGAGAAAAAACAGCCCCAGCGTTGTGTTTCAATGAGAATATCTCACCAAGCAGACTCAAAGGCGGCGAGCACCTTGAGCGCTCGAAGCTCTTCCAACTTCTGCTGCACCTGGGATGCAAAACAGGGCTCATGATGACACCATCCCAATTGAGCCGCCAGGGCTGTGAGAGGTGCTGTGGGTCCAAGCAGGCCCCCGCTTCCTTTTTGGTTAACTTATAGGATTCTATATATGAGCCCCAGAAAAGAACTACTTTAGGGCCCACCCCATAGAAAGCCGATGTAGGAAACTTCGCCCTTGAGCCGGCCTCAAGCGGCAGCTCCTCTGGCTTCGCGCTCTCCGGCACCGGGCTCTCCTGGTGCAATGGATCAGGGACCGATACGCCTCATGGGTCTGGGGTGCAGGGTACATAGAGGCCTGAGTTTTATGCGTGTTAGCTGGAAGCAATGTTCTGTGTTGCCTGATTTTGGACTCCTCGGCGGAGCTTGTCGGCTGTGGATGCCGGTCCGTGAGTGAAACCTACAAGAGTGCAATTCCCCCAAATCAGATTCTGTTGTGTACGTAATGTACGCCGCTGTCACAAGCGGCTTGTTCCCCGGGCACCTCACAAGTCCGAGAGGTCAGGCGACGGTCCACCCAACTTCTGCGTCTTCCGCAACCAAGGTGGCACACCCGCAAGGTGATCCGATGGCCATTGCTTTGAGGCAGGAACATCGGGAGCCTTCTCAACAACCGGCTCCGATTTTCTCCGCTTCCGCTCTGGCTTTTCTTTGATCGGCGCCTTCTCTGGCTTGCCAGTAGCCGCCTCGGCCTTCTCCTTGGCAAGCTGCAGAGCCAGTGCTCCTGGCTTCTGCATTTCTTTCTTGTCGGAGATGTGCCTACGGTAGCGGTTGTTCATGGCCTGCCAGCTGTGCTTCGTGACTTTGGCTCTTTGTGCTCGCTCCCAGATCTCGCGGCCCTGGGGCCGCAAACCTGGGTTGGACTTCACCCAGCGGATCAGCGCAGCATCATCCTCTGCTGTAAACTTCTTCCTCTCTGCCTTGACCTTCCCTTCTCGCGGCCCGGCACCATCCGCACCAAGGATGCCAGCTGCTTTCTTTTTGTCAACGATGTAGTCTTTCACCTTCTGCAATTGTCCATTGGCCACTGAGTCGAGGATGAAGCGTGAGGAGACAGCCGTGCGATCTCCAGCAGGTGGGGATCCCTCGGGAATGATGTTGATTACATGCTCCGTGGGCTTCTCCACGAGACAGCCACCGCCTTCCCTCACCATGTTCCGGAGCCTCGCGCCATCTTGGCACGGCGGCACATAGAAGGTGAGCTGCTTCCCCACCTCCACGAAGATCTGTGATGGAGAGGCCTTGGCCTCCTTCTTGAGCTCCCGTAACTGGGAGGGTGCCATTGCCGGCTTACCGCGCTTCATGCTTGCGAATGGTGGTCACTTGCCTCCCTACTTGCATCACCCACATGTACCCACATCTCCACCCTGTGTCATATCCGTCTGCTATGTCACGTGTTTGGAACCAAGTCATGTGCGCGGACTTGACCCGCTGCCTCATGTCTGGAGCCTGGAGCCACACGCACACAGAGGAAGCGGCATGATAGCCTTGCTCGCTCCACTGCAAGGTCCACGGTCCAAAAGCGATGACGAGTGCAAGATCAGGGGCCTCGGCGTCAGTGCCTTCCTCCTCGGAGTGGCCCGTTGAGAGTACCCTGAGCAGCACAGAAATCTGCCTTCAGAGTTATGTATCTGCTCCGACTCTAAACTGCACCCACGACGCACACAGCGAATGGCCTGCGACCTTCGGTTTCCAGAAGCTCCACCAGTGACCTCTCAGAGGGCACCCGAGCCTACGTCTGCTCAGGCTGAGTCGCGCCGTCCGTGCCCCTGGGACCGCGGCTCCCGGTCCACGCGGCCGCGCGTCGAGAGGCCCAGGCTCTCGAGCTGTGCCCGGAGCTCCCGGACCTCCGAGGCACCAGATGAGCAAAACACAGCGCACTGAAGCACTGCATGTCAAACATTGTCAAACGACCTGAAAGAGTTCGGGAAGCGAAGCAATTGCGAAGCATCTGCCTGGGGTTAGCCGAACCGAGGCCAAAGCACGCAGGCTCTGCATCTCCTGAATTCGCTGCTCGAGCTCCGACCTGAAAACAGGAGTGCTGAAAACCTCTTTTGCTTTTAGAGATCGTTCTTGATGAATTCTGTTCCGTGACTCGAGAGTTATGGCAACCTACGAATACACAGGAAGGGCTTGCGGCACGTGACATCTCCAGGTACCGCGCAGGTCAAGCACTCTGTCCTGGACACCTGCGCGATGCTCTAAGGCTGTCTTTGAGGATATAATTGCTGAAGCTTCAAAGCGGAACGAGAAATTCAGAGAGCAGACTGTGCGTGCCCTTGCCAATCCAGGGGGCCAGTCAGTGATTGCATAGCGATATGCGTCCTGCTGCGACACTCTGACGGCCTTGTCGCAGGATGATCCGCCGGCGACATGCGGAACTCGTGGCCGCGATCGTCAAGCCGGCCGCCTGAGCTCCGGCATGCTTTGCAGATCAGTCGCCTGGGATCTGTGACCAAGCTCGGAACTTGGTTAACTTCTGGCCAAACTTGGAACAAAGTGGACAAACCACCATGACATGCCGGGCTCCGAGCGGAGACGACTTGTCGGCACCATGGGCTGCCTGTGGGAGGGAGCTGTAACCCCTTCCCCCTTTAAGCTGATCGTCACTGCCTTGCCAATAGTATGTGTCCATTTCTGTACATGTTTCAGCTTCATGCTCGCTCTTGGGTTCATGACTTTTGGACTTTTGGATTCTGGATACTGTGCTAATCTCCCTACTCTGAACTCCTCCTTTTACCCAAACTGGGAAGAGAGTGGGAGCGAAAACTTGCTTCGATACTTGATATACGGTACAGGGTATGCAGGGCTCTCCGAAGGTTCAGTAGCAATCAGTCCCCGCAGGGATTCCGACAGTAGCCCAGGCTACACGCTACCTGTTCTACACTGTTGCACAAACTCTGCTCCATGCTGTCATCCGCTGCTTGACTCTGCTCTGAAGGGCACTTTGTACTAGAAGCTTCTTTGAGAACAGACATACCGACTGAGTTCAGGGCTGACCTTAAAGGAGTTCGAGGAGCGGCTTCTGAAAAGCTCTGAAGCAACCAGGCAACCTCCGGACCCGTTCGCCCTAAAAGTTGATGCGCCTCGGTTCGCCGGTGTCCTAGACGGCGCTGAGGGCACTGGTGCCTCGTATTGGGTGCTTTGGATCTCATGCTTTAGCATGTTGAGGCAACATCGGAAGGGGCATGACGCGCATGGTGAAGTCCCTGGCAAATGGGGTTCTGAGCACGCTGCGCTCGGTCTGAACTCCGGGGACAGCCTGGTTGACAAAACCGCTTGCTCTCGAGACGAACCCGTAGATGAACAAGCGAAGGCGACCTAGACTTCAACCAGCTGCAATGCTATCATGATGGCATCAGCTCCTCTTTCTGTGGCAAGCAGTTGGGGAGGGCAGGGGCAAGCCAGTCTGCATCATTGGAGTGTATACCCAACGAAGTCTGCGCAGCTGGGACATGCTGGAAGCTGACATTTGTCGCTTCAAGCAGAAGAAGCGCCACTCTTCCGAGCTTCTGAGCACCCCGCATCGCCATCGGTGAGTGCAGCTCCATACCGGGCCCGAGCTCGATTAGTAAGTAGCTTCTTGAAGTATCTCCACAGTTTCTTCAAACGGTGCACGACGTCTACGAGTCTACGACTGAGCGTACAATTCAAGCTGGTCTCGTTTAGGTTGATGTTGGTGGCTGGTGGGCTAAGCACGAAGAGAAACATACTCCAAACTACCTCTTGACCATCAACTTACAGACAACATCACGTGGTTATGTCTAGGATGTCGCTAGCCTCAAGAATGAATACTTGAGTAATGATGGTTTAAGTTTGCATCAAGACACTAAATGATGCTGCGGCCATCACCGGCAGCGATAATGAATGGTTCCAGCCGGTCCGTGCTAGAGACCTGTGCCAGCATTGGATCCTGAACCTCCTTTAACTGCCGACACCCTTTGCGGAACAGGCTTTTTCTTCGGGCGAGGACCGCTCCAGTAGTGATTGCTCCGGGCTCATAGCCTTCCGACTCTGTCTCACACCCCTTCATTCACGCAGTGTAAAGATGGACAAGTCTCCGTTCGATGCCTGAGCTGAGCTCTGCAAACTCGGGCCAAACGTCACTCCATTGCCCAACACGTGCGCGCAAGACCGGGCTTTCACAGCAGGGCAGCCTTAGGGTCAGCCTTCCATCCCGGAGCAGAAATACATGTCTTGTCCACAGTTGGTGCACTCGTCATCTCTGAAGTCCGCCGGAACATCTCGCACCTTGCAGCAGGCGTCCCACCATCCTTGAACCGCGCAGTTGAACTCAGCCTCGCCTCCATCCCTGCCCTTCAGGCCTGCCGCGAAGGCGTCTTTGCAATAAGGGTTTTTGTCCGAGCTGTCGAGTGGGCAATCACCACCTTTGCCCTGATACCGTGGGCAGGAGATGACAATGGAGGAGACAATTTGGGTACAAAAGCTTTGCTGGAGCTGATTGGGGATCGCCCCGCTGGCATAGATACCTCCCATAATGAGCGCCTTCAGTGGGGCCGTGCCAGGATCCGACAGTACTGCACCGTGAACCAGACTGCTGAAGGTGCTGCTGGCCATAGTGGTTTTCAAATCACTCTTGTCGATACACGTCCGCTTGCAGTGGCCTGGAACCTTGTCCTGGTTTCGGTAAAATTTATAGAATGCAGGAAGCAAGGTGTCGAGTTTCTCGGTGCGACAGTCTTTCTGTGTCTCATTGCCAACCACCAAATCGGACAACTCATTCTCATGCCTGGAGCGAGCTGGCCTCGCTCCGGAGACTATCGTCATGAGCGTTGCCATGCTCACCAGGGGGCGCAAGATCATGGTGGAGATGGAAAGTGAACTGCACAGACAAGTACCACTAACTTAGACTAAGCGACTTTGGGCCAAAAGTCGCCGCGAACCGGGAAGCCTTGAAGTGTGCCTCTTTCTTCAGGCTGAGTCTCTACCGTCTTCGATGTAAAGGTGCACATGTCAACTCTTTTTGGTGGCCGCGCTTGTCTGTACACGGGTCGACCTGGGACGCGTGGTCTGCAAATCGCTAAGATTGCAGACTCTCACTTTGTCCGCTTCCTGCACACCAGAATTCATCCACCGCGCCAGCTGCTCCGCTCTTACAACAGCAGTATCCTACCGCTGGCCAATTGTTTTTCGAAGTCCCAGAAATCGAAGTGACAGGAGTGGGCAGGCAACAGAAATGTGTTGCACTCTTTTGCGCTTGCGCTCTGGCTCTTGCTTTGCATCATCTTCTGGGATCTCGTCCTGCGCATGGGGAGGGTTTCGACAAGCACTGGAAGAATGGCTGACTCCCTTGACCCGCACCGTGTCTACTTCTGTGCAAACATACGTTACATACCGGACCATGTGATGCCATGCCACTGCATATCATATCATACCATAGCATACCATGCCCTACAGTACAGCACAACACGGTAAACAAAATGAATTGCAGTACAATGTCATACAATACACTGCAGGACAGTACAACAGAAGCCAATGTGATCCAATGCGACCCAATACAAGACAACAAAACACATGGCTACACTACACCACACCACTGCACTACAACGTACACACACTCACATACCGTGGTTCTCATGCAACATGTAATGGAACAGTGCAGCGTTCGAAAGGCTCCAAAAGACGGGTTCAGCAAAGCGACACCCGGCCTCCTTGAAGCAGGGCAATGGCTCGGAGCGGAGCTGGACCTCTGCCCGCCTCAGAGCCAACGGCCGCAAAAGCGGCTTTCTACTTCCATGCCATGAAAGGAGGCATTACAGATGAGGGTACATAGACTGAAGTGCTTCTAGATTGCACTGTTCTAATGTGATTCCATGATCGCAAAGGTCACGGTTATCCGCGAATGATCCGGCAAGTGTGGCATGGGTGATGCTAGGATGTGCCGCTGGGGTGAAGGACATTTTGGTCTATCATTCATTAAATGTTGATCCCCCCAAAGCCTTGAACCAGTGGCCCAAGACTCCAGCCCTTTTGGCTGTATCTCTTCCGTGACTGCCCTGGTCCGGCAAGAAGCTCGATGCAAGTGGCAGCACGGACACAGAGACGGAGCGACGTTGGGCCATCCAACGACACAGGAACACAGCACGAGCCGTTGCCTTTCCGTCTGCAGGGGAAGGAATGGTGAGAGGATAGGAAAAAGAAAGAGAGAGCGAGAGGCGAGGGGTTTAAACAAGAAGCAGCAGTATCAAAGTGGGAGGCAGTCAGTCGTAAAGACTCTGCGATGCCGATTCTCAGAAGCTTGCGACGACCAGATCCGAGCAGTTGTAAGTCTGTTCTCGGCACCGGACTTCAAGTGCCAGGCATGAGCATGAGGATGACCCTTGTCGCCTTCGAGGTGGCCCACCGCAGCATACCTCCAGGGTTGCGTCCGTGACAGGCCGCTTAGATACATGATTGCCCTCCACATCTGCGCAGCACGGTCTGCAGCTGCACTTTGTGCCTGCGTAGCTCAAACCCTGCAGCTGTCAGCGCCTCCTGACAGAAGTTCAGAATTGGGCTAACTGCTGACTCGACTGGATAAGCAGTCGAGCATTGACTCACACCCGTTCTGTCCTCAAAGCGCCGTCGCTGTGCGGCGCCCGTGGGGCCAGTGGGTGCCAGTGAGGTTTTCCTCCCGAGAGCATCCGAGAGCATGCCGAAGATACGACAGTCGGAGTTGCTGGCACCACGGAGACACAAGCCAACTAGCCGTCGGAGTGGCATTGAAGCCAGGACATGGCAAGGCTCCTATAGAGTGAGACCAGGCACAAGTGGAACCTGGACTTAAGTTCCGAGCCGAGGCTCTCAACGAGCAGCAGCGCTCCGCCGACGCAAAGGCATTGGCGTGCCTTGTCCAGCATCGCCTGGCGGGACGCTGAGGGGATCCAGGAAAAGGCTTAGCTTTTCCCGCAAAGGGCGATCCGACGACAAACTGAGCTCCGGAGAATCCGAGAGGCTTTCTCTCTCAAAAGTGGTCCGAGTTGCTCGACGGAGCTCCGGTGTCGGCAGGAAGGACAGAACCTAGTCCAAAAACACAATGTCTGGCACTTCGAGTGATGCGGATGGGGGCTGTCCAAGAAGAGACCACCGAAGGGTAACCAGCTTCTCCAACCTGCAATCACCCCGCACGGCCCCTGCAAAGCCTCACACGTCGCAACATGTGCCATGCAAGCATGGCAAGAGCCTCCACCGCCTGCAACTCCCCCCCCCCCCCTGCGAAAGACCGCTCCTGCCTTTAAAATCCTTTGTCTCACCTCTCTCTGTGCATGGCATCCATGGCTTCCCGAATCTAAGACCCCTGCCAGGCTCATGACCACAGCGTGAAAGCCTGCAGCCTGGCAATGCTGCACGTTCCGAACATGACATCCTTTGCACACAGGAGGCGGTTGATACGGCCAGTAGGGCGGGGCACCTTGAGAGATTTCAGGCGTCCCGAAGCATCCAGACTGTGGAGCTCTTTGGCCTGGAGGACACACAGCCATGGCATGGAGGGTAGCCGGCTTGAGCTTTGCACCCACTTTTCACTACGGGAACATGATAGGCTGCCATCTTCTCCTTGTCATTCGCTGAGTCATGTTTTTAATGCTCGCAGAAGCCACGTGAAAAAACTGACTTGAACAGGAACCCTTCTACTCCTGCTTCTCCTACTATGTCTACTACTGCTACAGTTCTACGACGACGACGAACCCCGGAGTCCTCGGCCACGTCCAGCTGCAAGAAGTCACCGGGCAGGACCTCCGGATGTGCCGGAGCCAGGTCCTCACGCTCTTCGTCTCTCGTTCTGAGTCCACTTACCCGGCTTCTTGCAAGAAGGCTTCAAGGCCTCGGAGCTGTGGGGACATCGACTAGTGCCTCCGGTTGGGTTGGGGATCGACATGTGGCACTGGGCTTCGGCAAAGAAACGCGAGTCTTTGTGAGGATGACTTGAAGGCTTGAAGACAGTCTCTGTGAGGAGACTGTTCTTTTTTGAACCGGGGTGTCAGGCGATGTGTTCAACGACAGATGCATGGATTCTGAGGTCCGGGACTGTCAAATTTGCATCGGCCAACGGGTGAGCTAAGCGTGTTCCAAGTTTTGAAATCATGCAGCCAACATTCGAGTTTGGATGTCAAGTCATATCAAGTCTTCCGGTGCAGCTGAGGCAGAAAATCGCTAGGCTCTCTGATACGTGGATCCGCCAGACAAGGGTTCTTGTCACTTTGCAGCGGCCCGACAGTCCAGAGCAACGACGCGCATGCCACGCCCGCAAAAAGCACCGTAGCTGCTGCCGACATCCAGCAGACCTCTCCGGAAAAGACACTGCACTCAGTCTGCTAGTCGGAACATTCGTCATTAGTGGAGGCAAGTCAAGAACAGGGTGTCTCATGGACGCCTTGGACTTCGAACAGGCAAGAAAAGAGTCTGTGAAGCAGTCTCACATGCTAGGGCAGCTTTGTGCTGCTGGGCCGCAGAGTTCTGTCCACGGTGGCATGCCTTCGGGGAGATGAAAAGCATCCGTTTCAAGCTGCGCCCGAACTTCCACACTCGCCTGGTGACTGCAGCTCGTCCAAAATCCAGGAGACGGTCGCTTTGGACCAGTCTTTGCCTATCAAACACTGACAAAATGCCACACTTCCTTGAGTCCACATCCATTCCTACTTGCTGCCAAGCCACTGCCGACAATTGGGGCACACTGTCCTTACTTACTGCAGTGAGAAGTACCGCAACATAAGATGGCTTTGGGATGGCATGACGATTCCTTCGTGCCCTGGGCCCCCGAGAACCTGTGACATAAAAATGTCAATACTCATACAAGTCTCGATAGGTTTCCAACTCTTCGTCCGTCAGGCGCACTTCTCCTCAGCGTGATCATGGGAGTGAGGCTAGTCCTAAATCCTAAATAGCAGACTTCACTGTATTGACAGAGAAGAGCTTTTCGGTCACAGATGAGATTCAGTTCTCTACGCAATTGGGCTGCGCCACGGCTCGTCGCTCCCGCAAGCGCCGGTGGATCTCATCCAGAGATGCAAAGGCATCCTTCCTGCCGCCAATTTGGACTGAAGCCAACAAAACCGTTCCTGAAGGTATCACCATGCAAAGGAATGATGGCTCGTATAGATCTTAAAATAAGGCCAGAATCCTGACGCTTCTGGAATCGTCTTCCCAGCCTGGCGCTCTTCTGCTGTAGCAGTCCTGCACGGATGGGTCTCAGTTCAGGGCCCAAGGCTGGTAGTGCTCGCATCTCGGAGAGACCCAACTTCAAGACACGGTGCGGTGTACGAAAAGAAGTTTCAGAAGTCAAGGGCCCTGATCCACAATGAGCATATCTTTCGATGCCTGCGGACAAGCTTCAGAAACAAGCACCAGCATAGACCCGCCATGGAACCTATATCCTGACGAAGGAGAAGTATTTGCCCCGCCCCTCTCAATATTCGAGATTTGGGAATCCTTGCAAAAGGCCCGGCAGATCTTCTTCCGGGGCAGAAAGGACCTGGCGAAGCCATTCTCAGCCTGAGGGGCTAGAGTGATGGGTACAGTAATATAGGCATAAGATAACGGTTTAGGGATGCCGGACTACAGGACTTCCAGCGGGCATACGTCCCGTAAGCGAAAGCCTTTGGATGGCTTCTTTTCATGCAGAGACTCCCTCGGCATCTCTGGCTCCGAATAATTTCATGTCCGGGTCCACCCAGTCGGGGCGCCTCTCTCGTATCTCCTGCAAGAACGAGTCAAGCTTCCTCATCTTGAGCGCAACTTCGATAGCACCGACATGTCATTCGCCTGTTGCCTGAATCCCGATCTTTGGCATGACCGGCTTGCAAAGCACCGCAAAGGCCCGAGCAGTCCTGTGCCAACGTCATGCCAACCAATCTGAATTGCTGCCGCGCCTCTCCTGAAGATGAGATCGGCACGTGAACTCTAGGAGGACCTGCTGGAACTAGAGTGGTACCCTATATATGCTTTTCGTCATCAGCTTGACACTCGAGAACCCTTTTCCACCTAGATTGGCCTCTGCATACCAATTGCAGGCTGAGCAGCTCTCGGACAGCGTCTCGCCAGCGACTGCAAGGGCATGTAGGTGTATATAGACATATGTAAATAAAGAAAATATAAATAAATAAATATATATATATATATACACCTATACATATTATAAATGCTCAGCCGTACTTTAGAGACATGGCCCCGGGTGGTAAAATGATGTGGAAGCCCGGAAATTAAATTTACTCTTTAATATTCTTACATCTTCTCATGCACTTTCCAAGGGAAATCTAGTAGCAAGCCGTGCACAGCTGGCACCGCACATATGCTAGGTTTCGCATCCACTCAGACAAATTTGAAATTCGGTGCTGTCCCGCCCCCCCCACCCTTCATATTCCACCCGGTATGGAGGTTTCATGTCGTAGGTTCCCACACTGCTGTGCTTTTGACCAGTCTTGCCAGTCCATCCAGAAGTGCCGACACTGCACATTTTCGTACCACTATATGGCACGCACTGCACCGCCGTGGCTCTGGCGTACAACAGGGAGTACAAGCAGAGACGATTTGCTTTGTAAACAGCACAAGCAAAACCAAACACTCGATTTCACTGTATGCGCTCCCCATTTCCCTGTAGCTCACGGCCTCACTGTTGTCTTGCAGCCGTCACCATGGAGACTTTCGATGCCCTTCAAATTCTGGACCCCGGGGCCTTTCTGAATTACAAAACCGCAGCCCTGCCAACTCCCGTACTCCCCACTTCGTCAGCTGGATCCCCCCCGAATGTTGCCAATGCCCCCAACTCCCCAGAGACTCCAATATCCCTTAATTAAGGAATATACCTTAAATCATATTAAGGATCCAGGATCCTACTATAATTCAGGGGAAGATTCCTTAATTGAGGGATCTTGGAGTCTTTGGGCCAATCCTTTGCCAAAGCGCCCCGCTCCGCCGCCAGGGCCAGGGCCAGGGGCCGATGCCCTGGGAGCCCCGGCCAGGCCTGCTTTGGGTTTAGGGTTTAGGGTTTAGGGTTTAGGGTTTAGGGTTTAGGGTTTAAACCGACAAAAAACGAGAAACGAGAGATCTCTCTTACGCATTCTTACGTTAGTTTTGAGAAGTTTAGGGTTTGCGGGCGGACTGGGAGCAGGGCATCATGAGAAGAGGCGTCGCCGGTTCAGAGGCCGGAGGGGTGGGTCAACACCATTTCCGCGCAATGTTCCGTTGGCTTCTTGGCTAGCACATTGCAGGGCTCTCAGTGGTGGGCTCTCAACGACCACACGCATTTTGGCGAGCATGAATTGTTCACAAACATGACCGTGTGGGTAGCATCAAACAAATTAACGTGACTATGATGCTTTAGCAGTGCCCCCACTAACCTGCCAAGCCTCTGCGAATCGCCGCTGAAGGAAGCAGCGCAGGTCTTGGACAAACACATGTGGACGATCTTAATAACTTAGTGGACGTAGAGAATGATCGTATTCGTTGGCCAAGCCAAGGTCTGAGGTGCTCGAGCATTTTAATTCGAGATAGTGATGATTCGGTCCGAGAATCTGTCCGCGCGACTTCGCCCATCGCTCATGGCCGTGCTTCCATCACTGCACCACTAAACGGCAAGAAACATATCTCGTTACGGTGTCACTTAATGGCTGGTGAAGAAGGAAGGGCAGACTGCTCAGAGACTTCTCTTTGAAGGCTGCAGAATGCTGGACTAATGGTGACGTGATGTGTAGACTTGATCAAATTAGATGTGTTGCACCATCTCGCAGTGCATGCCAACTTACTCGCACTTCTGATGCACCACCAAATTTGAGCCCCGATTCTCTGCAACTTACGCTGCAATCCAGCGTCTTTTCCTTGGACTGCGTGGCACTAGTGGCCTCGGCAGGTGGGTCCCGGAGACGAGAGGGAACCAGGTGGTGACCAAGGCCTCAGGCAGCTTGGAGGGGCTTTCGAGCTTTTGATGACCATCCGGCGCTAAGAGGCTCGGAAGTGCAGTTGGGCCTTCCAGAAGTCTTTGAAATCCACGCTGCCGTCTTGGTCAGAGTCGAAGACCTGCGCACAAACGCCACCTGCTAACAACTCGCCCGGCACTACCAACCACTAGGTCACTAGGGCCGCACCTCCAGCATGTCGTGAACCTGCTCTGGGCTTGCCTGCGCAACGGCTCAGGCTGCTTTGCCTGTTGAACACCACTTGGCTCCAATGCCGCAGATGACCACGTGGCCTCGACACCCACACGTCGTAGCGCCCGCTCGAGCTCCCCAGCATCAATGCCTTTGCGAGCCCAGCTTTGATACAACTGTATTTAGGATGTTCCGGGGGTGACTCGAAACTTAAGAGGTGGATGTGGGGCAATGGCTGATTCAAGCAGCACGTGCTGTGTCATGTCAATTGCCACCTTCATCGAAGCTTCGCTCGCATCAGCTGCTGGAGTTTTACCCAGCATGATGTGGGCAGACTGAGTGGAAGCTGAAGGAGCGACGACACTGATGAAAGCAAGAAAGCTGCTCCTGCCGCTTCTGTGGCTATGATTTCTGCCACTACTCCTCCAGCTGCTTCTGATACTGCTGCTAGACGACGACTACTTGCTAAGCTGCTACTGCTACTGCCGTTCTTGATGCTACACAACCACAACCACAACGACACTGCCGCCACCACCAACAACAACAACGAAGGAACGATCAAAACAGGAACCCGAATCTGAACTACCACCAAGACTCCGCCAACACCACCATCAACAACAACACCAGCACCAACACCAGGACGACGACGGCGACGACGAAGGGGACGACGACGACGACTGCTACTACTGGTACTAAAGTGCAGCTACTGATCTACAGCTGAGCCTGCCAATGGGGTTCTTCACCCTTACAGTCCGACCCACCACGATGACACTGTACTCCCAGCGTGTTCGGTAGTCCGTCTCTTGTAAAGGCTATTTTAATGCTGATGTGCAGGTCGCGGGCGGCCGTTTCCATCCGCATCGATGCCGGCGAAAAGCTCGGCACCCGCATTTGCTGCCTTAGAGAACATCAAGACTGCCAGACCTCCGATTCAATTGCAATGACGATTTTTGCGAGGATGGTCAGTGTTGTACGATCCAACTACAATGTGTGTAAACATCTGCTTATTTAGACAGACACATACCTGCATGCATCGCTAAAGTTAAACACGGTCATACACCAGCATATTCACACGCCCCAACTCAATGCATAACGGTATTGCGGGTAAACTACCGTGTAACACGCGCTCGGCTGCAGTCACTTTGCCAACCACTAGTTATAAAATGCCCTGCGTTTGTATCGTTACAACCCATCTACCGTCATATGCCATGCTATACTACAGGATATTTCATTGCAATACAGTACGTTCATTAAGTCGGAAATACTTGAAATACCGATAAAATACATATCAACTACTGTGTGAGGTTGTCCCTCGTGCCCCCTGCCTTGGCTGCCACAAAACGGGGTAGCAAGCCACATCAGATCTAGACATGTATCAAACAACCATACAATCCCTTGTTCACGCGTGCACTCACATGCATTTCGACTTCAACTTGCGGGGTAAGAAAAGCTTCCACATGCGCAAGACTCAAACTGCGACTGTGAGATGGAAGGGCAAACAAAGTTGACAAACAATCAAAAAGAAACGAAACCAGAAAGCCGGGTAACAATGAGATGGAGAGGGTGGAAAAAAGTCGAGACGGGAAGTGAACGGGTGATAAATCAGCGATGAAGAACAAGCCTGGAGGAAAGGGACGGTAGGAGTCAACAACCACACAAACTTGAAAGACAACGGACAACAACGGAAAGCGCATGACAAATCATGCCAAGTGTTTGGACTGCCTCAGGCGACCTGTTTACTTATTGTTGGTTAGCGTGGGAGTCGCAGGAAGTATGTAGGATGACAAATTGACGCTGGCCCTACATCTGAATCAGCATTTATGTAGGAAAGTATTTTGTTGATCTGTCGCGGTCATCCTCCGGCCAGCGAGCTTTCTAAATGAAGCTGGGGCCGCAAGACCGGCAGTGCGACAAATTTCCAGCCGAATCACACTTGCAGGGACCCTCGAAAAAACCGGAGCTACTACATGGGTTGGCAAATTATCTCTACCGTACTTGATCACTTCACCGGCTTTCCAATCTGACTACGCCTGCTTCTCCTTCTTCTCACTTCTTTGGCCACATACCAAACAACAGCATTTCAAGATGTGTCTTTGGGCAACCATTTCTTGCAGGTACGTACGCGCGCACGCAAATAGGAGATACCTGTCTGATGTTCCAAGCGACCCTGCCTCAACGCAGCCTTCGAAAGGGGCCGCGACAAATGCCCGCAAGCAATGTTCGCTCAAGATCAGGAGCTGCTTGCCCAGTGCATGCTGTTCTGGGCTTCGAGCAGCATCGGTCATGCCGACCTGTCGTCCGCCGGCCTGGCTGGCGGAGTACAAACTCATGCATGAGCATTGCGCAAACACAGTAGATGCTCAATCACTGATTCGACTCTATAAACCACATTAACCCTAAACCCTAAACTTATCAATCGCTAAGGAGCTGTGCCTTGTACTCCCAATGCCCGCAGGACCCATATTCGGCCTGCCGGTGCCTCGCAATGGCACGGGCTTCCTCGACCACCCTTATTACTATTATTATTATTATTATTTATTTTTTTTATTATTATTATTTATTATTATTCTTCTTCTTATTCTTATTATTCTTTATTATTATTATTATGATTATTATTATTCTTATTATTTATTATTATTATTCTTATTCTTATTCTTATTATTCTTATTATTCTTATGATTATTATTACTTATTATTATTATTCTTATTATTCTTATTATTATTATTATTATTATTATGATTATTATATTTATTATTATTATTACGGAACATACGAGGAGAAACAGCGTTGCTCACGCCACATTGCTGAGCTTGTGGCATCTCCTGAGTGCGGATCTGGACCTTTCATGGGCTGGCAGGCCCACTGACGCGTGACATGTCTGTTGATGCATATAGGCCCTTCACCCTGGGCACTGTAACTTGCGAATGCAAGCTCATCCAACCCACGCTCAAGACGCACCTTTTGAATTGGCATCTTTACATGGGCACGCCGCTCTGAGAGCTATGGCATCGCGGGCAGGAGTCAGGATCACCTTCGCAGACCTGCCCTCGGCCAGCCTAACATCTCAAATGGTTCTTTGGGTGCGGAAGTTTTGCAACTTTGCATGAAGAATCTCTAAAGGGATGAGCGTCCATTCGAAATGAAAGGGCTGTACAAGGTTGCGGCCATCCAATTCTATGCCTGTACATTGCTAAGCTGGGTACGGTCCTGTAGCAGCTTGGGGTCATAGACCCGAAAGCCCTCAGACTGTGTCTGCATCGGAAAGCCCCAAAGGCGCAAGCCGACCCTTTGCTTGACAAGCGCCGGCACCTCCCAGAGTTGACTTCTTCTGACTGAGACTTCCAACTTCTGGCAGCAAAGTATACGCTTCATTTCTGGGTTCCTCGGTTGCTGCCTCGCACACAGCCTTCTCTGGCACCCATGCTTCACGAATGTCAGGAACTACAGCAAAATGGGTGTGTTTGTGGTCTGCCCATCAGTTCGAGTGTCGCATTCCAACGGACAGAATCCAGAGAGCATCGGAGTTCAACGAATTCTGTATCATGCTCTAAAGACTCTATAGTATAGGTATTTGCATGCAGACCTATAGTTACATGTTTCTAGGTGCCTCATCATCGTCCTCAACGCTTCGGGGCTGAGGCAGCTGAAGCACGACATCCTTAGGCGCCCTCGTCCTTGGTGCACATCGTCCCAACACTTCCTCTTGCGCTGCGAAACTTGTGGCAGGGCTCTCTTCGAGCGCAGCCCCTCACTTCCGTTCCCCGCTGGCTAGATTGAAGCCCGCGGGACGGCCCGGGACTGCCTGAAGCTCCGAACACCAATCCGAGCACAGCGGCACTGTGCTCCATGTCTGCAGTCTCCGAGTCTTCCGCTCCAAACACGCTGTGGTCCTGCACACAAAGGCCGGTTTCTATTTGTAGCCTCTTGAGCGAAAGCTTCCAAACAATAGTCGGACTCCACAGATATTATACTGATACACATGTTCTCGTGATTCCTACAGCTTGCCGGACTCGTCAAACGAAGTGTGATCAAAGCAACGTGGCAGCGCTCCAGCACGACGGCGATGATGACACCAGAAAGGGAACCTGACAATGTCAAAGTGACAAAGCACCAAGCCCGGCCTCATTAGGGCCTATAAGTCTATAAGTCTATAATATAATACGTGACGCTAAAGTCTCAGGGCGAGGAATTCCTTGGCTCCGCATAGCTTTGCAAGGCTTTCAGCTGAAATGTCTGCTGCGCATTAACAACCTCCAAGCATGGCAAAGGAGCCAAGCATCGTGGTCCAAACGCAGGCCCAGTTCCTGCCCGGAACAGGCTCGCAGGCTCTCGTACAGATTGAGCACAAAAACCAGGCCACCCAAGCTGTTCTACGCTCCTAGCAGCTGTAAGCTGAAGGCAACCAGAGCCAACAGGACTAGCATGTTTTCGCAAGTCTTTCTGGCCGATGGTTTCTTGCTGAAACCCTGTAACTGCACCTGAACACACTTCAACCGTCTTGGTCCGAAGGCGCTCATATCCACGAGTCAAACCCTGGGCGCATTTCCTCTACCTCTCCTCTGCTCTCTTTCGAACTCTCTTTCTTGCTGCTCCGTGAGCGTCGCTAACGGCCAGCTCGGGTCGCGAGATGGGGTTCGGTTTGGGCGATGCTGTCATCCTTCGATAGCCTGTGTTGGCTGTGGGGGCGTTGAAAGCGGCCTTCGGCCATCGCTATCCTGTCCTGGACCAACTTCTGCAGCATCATGTTCTCGCCAGCATGGGTCCATTTTTACGGGCTGCCAGTTGGACGAGATAAAGTTATCTCGTCCAGCTGGGAGCCCTGGAAGAGGACTCTCTTGTCTTTGAACGACTGCCTCGGAAAAACCGTCACTTGAGTGCCGCGTAGTTTGAAATCTTTAAACCCAATTGCTGGGTATTCCTGAGCATTCCTGAGCCGTACGGCTGTTCACGAGAAGTACGGAGGCGGCTGTTCACACTTGCTTGGTGCCCTGCAGAGCTGCGTCTTTCGCCTCTCGATAACTCTCAATGGGGTCTCAGGAACTCAAACCACGCCTCACCCCGATGACCAGGAGGCCAAAGGAGCGCAGTATGTTCGGCAGATCGAACCCTGGCACCACACAGAGCTTGTCTCAGACCGTATAAGACTTGTCGAGATGCAAACCTCCACAAGAAGCCGCCGCGCCTAATTGCTGGAGCCCAACCAGACTGACAGCGATGTAAGAGAAGCCTGACAACAGCGCATTCATGTCAAGAGTATATTGCTTGCGAAACCAACTGCAAGCCTCGAGCGCATTCGAAAAAGCGAGAAACACTACTATACAGTAGTACCAATCTGTGAAGCTGTCTGTTTTGCGTACTTGCTTTTTGTCCGTTGGCCTATTTTGCCCTTCCCACACAGTAAGCTGCTACTTCGTGGATATCGCAGGCACCGGTTGACTACAGTATTGGATCCTTGCAAGAGAATGTGGCAAGCTTTTTTCTCCAAGCCACCCACGAAGACCGGCACTGACATGGACCTGAGCCAGTGAAAGGACACGGCGACACTCAGGCAGAAACTGAAAGAACATCATCGGCAGGATCTTGATGAGCTTGTTTTTAATTCGTCTGAGACTCCCTTGCCGCTCGTGTGACCAGAGGGCGACCAAGATGAGTAGCAGGTTCAGGATGGCCTGGGCACCGGGCAGAGTAGATTCGCAAGAAGCTTCGTGAGGTGCCTCGAAACCTGCATATGGGTGGTGGTCAAAATTCTGGTTCCTTTTTGGGTCCGTGTTATAATACGGCACCTATTATTTAGGGTACCCCATCATTTTGACAACTCCCCATATGTCAAAGGCCTGCAGTAGTATGCGCGACCCGGGAGGGGACATCTCTTGCGTCATCCTCGGCTGCATGGCTTGCTCTGACCGGCTGCGGTCCAGATCTGCTTCGTTGAGCCGAGAGACATGTCGAAGTCCTGCTGCAGGCATCGCCTTGGTGAGGGAGCCGCTTGACACTTTCGGAGGCATCAGGATGGTTCAGCGGAGCGGCAGGCCCACCACGGCCGTGACCAGGGCCGCAGCGAGGACAGACGCAAACAGCTGTGCCAGGATTAGCTCAGCTGCGCCTGGCATGTCGGCTAAGTGCAGCATAACGGCAGCACAAGACACCTACAGAGCAAAGCACAGCAACCTTAGCAGCAACCTTGCAAAATGGCTAGCACTGATCGGCTTCCACGCAAACAAACGCAGGAGGAGAAACCCACAAGCTCACATGCGCCCAGGCGCGCAGCGGGCGAAGCTTCCCTCGCAGGGCCAGTGCCAGCGTCCTGGTGTAGCCATCCGAAGCAGCAAACTGCTAGGTGCAGGCGGCTACTGTAGGGTTGATGATGTTGATAGCTTTTGGGATAGCCCACATGCATTGAGACAAAGAGAGGGGGGTGCCATGCGCACGATGCGAAACGCGACCAAATAGTGCTCTGCCCTTGTCTAACATGCCGTGCTTGGAGGCGAGGCTCACAGCAGGATTGAAGTGGCAGCCGAAGTTGCCCTCGCCCATCATGCCCTGCATGATCACGGAACCCGGCACAAACACGTGGCATGTAGGACTTGCCACTTCGGGCGTCGTGGAATTGAGGCTCAGATCAATGGCTTGGCGAAAAAATAAGGGACACGCTCAGGTTTCATGATGCAAGAGCCTGCAGTGCTGGCAGGGGGAGGATTCCCAGTTAACTGCAGAACATACAATACTGTCACAGTTTGCGAGCCGTATTCATCACCAAGCCCCACCGGACATCTGCGCAGAGATGGCGACTGAAGCGTGAAGCCCCCTGTTCAACACTCACTTGCATTTTTGCTTCCCGTCCTTGGGCTTGTAGGTGAAGCCTCAAGCGTGAGGGAACTTGAACCGATTCCCCGAGATTAGATGATTAGATGAGGGGTCCAGTGGCGGCCGGCAGAACAAGGCGCAAACGATAGCTGCTTGCAATGTCTCTGGATGAGCATAGCATTACAAAAACAATACATTGCTTTCTTTCTTTGCAGGCAACTCTCGCGAACACGAAAAGACGGAATCCTTCTGACCTGTTGCTATCTCCAAACTGCGTGAAGTCTCTTTTGTGAGGCCGCGCCCATACCATCATGGAGCGCTGAAAATCTAAAGCCAAAGTGCCCGGAGAGTCTGCAGGCGAACGTCGCACAAATCTGACTCAAAAGACCAGATGCGAACTATCGCGAACCCTTGGCTGGACAACCCGGCACTGGGAGCCTGGCACACATATACTGTACTACGAAAGCTAGCATACCCGCATTACAGTGTTGGTGCGGTGCGCCACTGTCTGCGGCAAAACTTTTTCGACGATAAAGATATTCAATCCAGTTCAATCCACTTGCAGACTGGCCAAGAAACTGCTGGCAACTGCTGCTGCGAAGCCCGTGGCAAGAGAGACCTGGTCAGCAGGATAATACGGTGGAGTTCGAGCGCAGGCCTAGTTTTAGAGCAGATTGAGCCGGAGGTGCAAGTTGTCATGTTTGGCCCTGTGGTGAGGCGCACGAACACGCCTTCGCCCTTCGGTTTAGCGACTGGTCACCCTACAGTCATTCCGTTCATGCCTTCATCTCCTGTTGACAAAACTCAGGAACCCTTCATGATTCAATTGACGGGTTTTGGCAATTTGGGATTCAAAGCCTTGCACCTCCAACTACGGATCCAAGGGATCTACCCCCGCATGGTGTAGAGCAGCCACAACACTGTTTCGAAACCACTCGGGCTGGTGTCTTAACGGCTACAGGCTATAGGTGTCCCAGTGTTGCTGCCACAACATCTTTCAGGTTCCTGGCAGCTTCTGTACACCTGTTCAATCTTGGACCGCACTGATTCAGGCGGGCCCCTGGCGATGTAAGCCGAGACAGCTTTTGAACAACGTGTGATCTCCGTCTCCGGCCTGCACGCTGAATGTCGGTGGCGGGCATGGCGTGCCCATCAGTCGCCTGGACAAGGAGTTGCCCGTCCGGTAATGGCTGCATGAATAGTACGTGGTCCCCACTCCCACCCAACACAACGCTCATGGCCAGTCGCATCTGCTCCCGAGAAACTTCGGGACAAGAGAAAGCAATCAGAACAGTTGAAGGCGGCATTGGCGATGACGTGAATTCTGCTGTTGTGCACCACGATACAACACGGTCACACGAATGATTCGCACCTGGACAGGCCTCCACCATGGGCGTGGCAGCCTTGCACACCAGCCATGACTCAAACCAATATCCTAACTGCAACCCAGCGAATCCGAAGCTGCTCTAACAGACAACGGTCTCAACCAAAGGGGTCTTCTTTGCGAAGGCATGCAAGAACACTTTACGGCCTTCGAGGCAATGGTTGGCAGACACAGCTGCATCCACCGAGACGAAGACAAAAAGAGTGGAAATCACCAACCTGGCCAGGCTTCATGCGTCGACAGCAGCTCTTCGCCATGCGAAACGCCCCGACAACGGCTGTTTACATGAAATTCAATACATCGCCTGACGATGCTTCGACTTTTCGACACTACGAATACCAGCACCCACGAAGTCCTGAAGATCCATGATTCCTGAAACCACACACCAATTAAGTTGCTGCGAAAAGACTCTGGCGCCACGCTGCGCAAAGCACTGGCCAGCTTCTCCATGGCTTTTCAAGCGGGTCCAAGAGAAAGCGAGCCAAGGGCTTAGGGTTTAAATCGCTCAGATGAGGGACGCTCTCCTCCCCCCAGTCTTCAAATACTTGTGTGTCCTAGCAGTCCTAGCACAAACGATATCTGGATGTGCTGAGGCTGGGGGGTGTTCGTCTCGGAGTTTTCTGTAAAAGTCTTTACTTCCAAGACAAGGACCCTGACCTGATAGTCTGAAAGTGGCTGGAGTTTCGAACAACCGCTGCTGGTCTGTGATGCTCAAACTGTGCCGGTCCACAACGGGGCAGCATGGCATAGTCTACGTGTAGAACTGTCATGGATTAGACATTTATCGAGCCGTCGATCCTGCAATCGTCGCAAATGGAGTTCATTGACTTGCAGGCTGGTTGAACACACACATCACGGTCCAAAGCAATAGCTGCAGGTGTAAGTACATCTATTCTCCGGGCAAAACCTGACTGAAATTTCTCCACCTGACCCAGGCAGCAAACCCCTCCCGAAACGACGGAACCTGAGATCAGGCCAGATACTCAATCGTGAGAACCGTGCTTCCATAGACAATAGCTGATGCTGGCGAGAATTGATGCTCAGCGCGTTTTCGAGCAGGCAACGAATAATGAGGCACACCTTGTGTCGTTAAAGACTCCTTTTCAGTATGCATCCCAGCTGTCCTCATGATGCTCGTTTCTTGCTGGATTCAATGACTGGCCGTGCGGCATACATCCGATCCGATGTCCATGATGCTAGCTCTTTGGTGGCTTAATGACGGGCCCAATTTTGAAGTCTGTTCGTTTCCTGGTGGATACATCGGCGTCTGGCTGTCGCAAAGCGTTTACCGGCTGATTGTGGTAGCTTGATGACAGGCCATTTGCACCATATATTCAGCTGATGCTCATGGTGCGCGGTCTTGGTGACTGGATGACTTGCCGCTTGCACGGTTCATCCCAGCTGATGCTCATGATGCGCGTGTTTTGCTGGCGCGATGCCTGGCCGTCTGCAGCATACATCTCCGCTGATGCTCATGATGTGCTTGTCTTGGTTGTACCATGCACCCCAGCTGATGCTCATGATGTGCGTGTCTTGCATCACAGCTGGTGCTCATGATAAGGGCTTCTTGATGAATGGATTACTGGCCGTTTGCAGCAATTTTCCCAGCTGATGCGCATGATGCGCTTGTCTCGATGCTCATGATGGTGGCTCGATGGCTGGCCGTCTCCAGCATACATCCCAGCTGATGCGCATGATGCGCTTGTCTTGGTTGCTCGATCACTACCCTGCTGCAGCATACATCCCAGCTGATGCTCATGATGAGCTTGTCTTGGTGCATCGACCATTGGCGGCTTTCGCCATACACCCCAGCTGATGCTCATGATGCGGGCTTCTTGGTGGCTCGACGACTGGGCGTCTACGGCCTACATCCGAGCTGACGCGGATGATGCGCCTCTCTTGGTGGCTCGACGATGCTCATGATGCGCGTGTCTTGGTGGCTCGATCATTGGCAGCTTGCAGCATACACCCCAGCCGATGCTCATGACGCGCGTGTCTTGCTGCACACATCCCATCTGATGCTCATGATGCTTTTGTCTTGGTTACTCGATGACTGCTGATGCTCATGATGTGGGCTTCTTGATTACTCCATGACTGGCCGTCGGCAGCCCACATCCCAGCTGATGCGTATGATGCCGGTGTCTTGCTGGCACGATGACTCGCCGTATGCAGCATACGTCCCAGCTGATGCTCATGATGCGCTTGTCTTGGTCGCTCGATGGCTGATGCATGCATCCCAGCTGATGCTCATGATACGCTTGTCTTGGTTGCTCGATGGCCGCAGCATGCATCCCAGCTGATGCTCATGATGCGCTTGTCTTGGTTGCTCGATGGCTGCAGCATGCATCCCAGCTGATGCTCATGGTGCGCTTGTCTTGGTTGCTCGATGGCTGCAGCATACATCCCAGCTGATGCTCATGATGGGTGTATCTTGGTGGCGTGATGACTGACCGACTACGGCATACATGCCAGCTAATGCTAATGATGGATGTCTTGGAGACGTGATAAACGGCGGTCTACGGCATACATCCCAGCTGATGCTTATTGATGCTTGTGCTATGCGTGATGACTGACCGTCTACTGTCTGCATTCAGCCAATGATCTGCCGTGCCCCGAACGCTACTCTCAATAAGCCTATACGTCCCCACTGCCTCAAAGTGTACGCCCTCCCGGGTCGCAACCAAGTGTATGCTGCGGTATCCATTCGCCTGCACCACCAGAATCGACACTCTCAAGAGTTTAAGCAGGCAGCATGTTGGGTACAGGTTGGTGGCCAACGCACGCGAACCGTCACAAGCAATGCTTCTTCTGAAGTTTGCTGCAGAGTAAAACGCACTTGCTTCGCCAGCCCAGAACCAGGAGCCAATTTCCCTCATGTTTGCCCGTTGCACCCCGCCACCAAGTCAAACAAGCAAGATTTACTCTTCTTGGTCACACAAACCACAGCCAGAAACCCAGACCTGGACCGGGGGCCTTTGGATTGCTGACATAGTCCTTGCTCCGCCCCTCCACCAGTTTCCACAGTCCGGCCTGAAATTTGCTGTGTACGGGGGTTCTTCACATTCCTTGCGCTGTAGAGATTTCGGGACATAAAGCGGGAAGCAGAATGGAGCTATTTTTTTCTCGCAGCTGCACCAATGTGCCTCTGCAGCACAGGAAACTAACATCTCAGTCGCAAGAAAATTCCACACGAGTACGAAGTACGAGCCAGCTTTTCCACCATGTCCAATGACTCTGCCGCGAGGCAACTCTAGGAGGCTGGCGACGACATCACGGACTTCGAAGCAGAGCTGCCGCGCGCGCTCTGCACTCGGAGCCTGGAAGCTTGGAAGGTTGGCTTTGCGACATCGTAGCCGGGGCATCACCGACCCGGCCGAGTTTCGCGGACTCCCCTTTGAGCAGATACAAGCGCTGAAGGTCACACTTCTGAGCGTCAGGCATCGAGGATGACTCGGATGGCCATGCGATCCCAAATCTGGCAGGATCGGCAAAACTACCACGTCCAGGTCGCAGCGAGAAAACATGGGTTAAGACTGTTTTTGAGGAGTTTGATGCCGCATGGCTCCCAAAGCATCGACGGTTGCAAGCTCTTGGCGGAGCATATTTCGGCGATGGCGAGCCTCGTGGAAGCGAAGATTTTTCCTCGGCTTTGAGCAGCCAGTCTGAGACTGCTGGACAAGCGGCCGCTGTCAATGAGTCAAAAGGTGACAAGCGTCTTGTTCATCTTCTTCCATGTGCTGTAAGCAGACTTGGCACGGCCCGAGACCTTGTGGTGAGCACATCAAAGCTTCGACATGCGCGTGGAACAAAACGAAGGGCGCAAAAGGAAAGGAAGGTTCGGACTCGGAGGGATGAGAGCTCCTTCAACTGCGAAGCCTCCAAAGCCTGAGAGGATGCAACAAGCAAATCAACTTTTTCGGTGAGTAAGTTAGTGTGATCGTCCCAATAATGACATGGGCCGGGCCTCTTGGAGTTCACGCGTGGCGGTATTCACCAGCATCTCTCCTGCCGTGCGAATTGCGGAAACATGATTTCCGGCCGCATGAACAAAACCAGTGATCTGATGTTGGGAAGTGCTTCCTGATCGCTTGCTGAACCCGGGACCTTGCCGCTCGCCCAGCAGCGCACGAAGTTCCGCGCGCTCCTGCAAGGCATGAGTAAGACTTGAACCAAACCTAAGTGTTGGGGTTGGTTGGGAAACCACTCCTGGCTGTTGGCCAGCCATGCAGACGCAACAACATGCACAAACATGCACACACACACACACACACGCACAAACGCAAAAACGCACACAACAAGACGCGAATAAGTCACGGCCCGTGCCTTAGGATGCGTTATCGCGAACGCGGCATCTTCGAGCTCATCTTTGATCCTCGCGCTGACATTTCGTTTGTGCCAGAGCGGGTCGGGAACAAACCTTCCATCATGCCAAGGCTGGAAATCCATCTGCTGCACTTTTTTGGGCACCTCGCGCTGCCGCTCACAGCCAAGGAATGGCAACATGTGCAGCGCGGTGGTCGCAGAGGGAACCGAGCTGAAACGGCAAAAACTCGAAGCAACACAGTAACTTTACTGTTGAGGGGGGGGGGTCAGGACAAGGCTCCCCGTCTGCTGCTGTGAGCGGCAGGACTTTGCGAAGATTTGCAAAGGACATCGAGCTCTCAACGACTGTGTTAGCGCGATAGTTTTAGCAGTGTTTGCTTTGCAAGTCATCGTTTTGTCAATGCCGCTTCACTCTGGCCCCCCGAACATTGCCCACATGAGAGGCGAGAGACAGCTCTTGGGCACTTCTCATCCTGGGTGTTCGCCAGCCGTAAATGAATGCAATTAAAGTCGCGCTGTGCCGGCTCTTGCCCCGCTGGTTCATTATCAAGCTGTCCAAAGACTTGCGGTAGCCTGCTCAGTGCAGGTCTCCGCAAGCCTCGACAAGAGCTCCTAAGCTACTATGCTGCCTTCGGCAGAAGCTCAGAAAAAGATGGTGCATCGCTCACCTCTGCTGAAGGCACACACGCACACACCAAGTCATGTTAAGCATGGCAAGTCACCACCACACTTCGAACGAAGTCACAGAGCGACTATGTTGGTCAATACTTCGACGTGGTGTGAAAAAGCACGCAACTCTCAACTTATGTGTGCCAAGTGGCCGATGAGCGGTGTGGCGGCCATCTGAAACCTTGACATGGTCATGACTTTGAACTTCGGACGCTTAGGATCTCTAACTTCGAGCTGCGATCGCCATCGGGCGCCACTAGAATCACTAGAACTAGATTGAACATCGACGACCCGCGATTCAGGAAGGCTCGGCCTTGATCAGCTCAAACGCAACAGTGACACGAAAAAGATCCAGGCCCCTGGCTGCTCCATCCCAAGCTCCTGCTCCCAATGTTTCACAGAAATTGCTCTAGAAGAGACAGAGACAGGGAGACAAAAAGAGCAGCTGCTGTGCATGA